TTGTTGTGTGGTAGATGAATTGGATGCGTAATTTGGTCACTGACGAAAGCTGGCTGTAAGGGAAAAAAACAAAGTGCTTAGAGCAGAAATGATAACACCAATCAGACTTAGGTGGCTGTTATGAACGGGTAAAAAGAAATTTGGCGGGCGAGACAGGCTTTGACGACAAAACACCGGACGCTAGATACCTGTTAGTGGTAACTGCAAAAAAGTAAACGGTACACTTCTTTCAGCTGAAGAATTAGCTGATGCCATAGAAAATGCACGTCATCTTGATGTGCTTGATTTGCAAGGTAATGCTATTGGCGTGGGGGCGGGGCGACGTCTTGCAGTGGTGTTGGAGCATCATCCTGAACTGAAGGTTTAGCTTTTAATTATTTTTGTCAAAATTAACTTCCCTCGACACGGATGCTTTTCTGAAAATAAAATATTAGAGAAACTGAAAACATAAGGCGTTATTAGCAAATGTAATGTTTCCATTTGAAACTATGAAATAATGGTGCCCATAGTTCATGAGAAAGTGGCAATTTATGCTGGACTGAGAACAAGAATACCAAGATCATTCAAACAGTTAGGGATTTAGAGTTACGCGAGGCGAACCTGTGCAGCTTACTTTTTTCGGCATCTACCACTTTGATGATGACTGAAAGCGCTTGTATTCTCTGAAAACGATGCATTTTCGAGTGGAGCCCACTTTTACGCGTTTTTGCATGATATGGAAAAACACGTATTGTGACGATTTGTGCGTGTGTGTGTGTGTGTGTGTGCGTCTGTCCGCGTGTTTCAAGTCGGCACCCAAACAAGCTCCGGCGCTAAAATTTTGCGAGTGGGTTCCCCGGCCAAGTGCCACTCCAGGACCGCGGCACCAGCCCTCAAGCACGTCTAGGCCTCGCGTACGAGCGCCTCAAAGTTTTGGCGGGAAAATTGCTAAGTTGGGAACCAGAAAAGCTAGAAAGCTGAAATTTTGGGATTATGTTTCCAGTCCAAGCAGAATCAAAGATTTCAAATTTCAAATTCAGTCCCCGGGGGTGCGTGGTTCCCGCGTATGGCCCCGTGAGAGTTCCCGGCGCGAAAATTGCTAGCTCGGGAACGAAGAAAGCTGGGGGATTGAAACTTACAGGAAATGTTCCGAGCTCATCTACAACTTAAATTTATTAGATTTAGCCCCCCCCCCTTACCCGTGGTTGCCACGTACGGCCCCGTGAAAATTTTTGGTGCGAAAATGGCTAACTCCGGAACCAGGGAAGCTGGAAGACTGAAACTTTCACGAAATGTTCCCAACTCAACTACAACTTAAATTTATTAAATTCAGCGCCCCGTTACGCGCGGTTGTCACGTACGGCCCTGTGAAATTTTATGGCTGGAATTTGGGTAACTCGGGAACTGAGAAGGCTGGGAGCCTGGGATTTCGAGGGAATTTTCCTTGTCCAAATACAGCCTAGATAATTAGCTTCCCGAAATTCGGGGACCAGTATGTACAAGAGGTTTCTAGCCGGCGAAATTTCGAGTGATCTTATTACAGCACGAAACTCTGCAAAAACGCATGATCACACGGGGCCCGCCCAGTGCGCGTCGCCAATGATTTTTGTAATCTCTCACCCATTTTACCTTCTTTTTAATTTTAAATCCATAATTTGTACTTTATCAGCTAACACTTTATGGTTTCCATTCTTGTGAAATAGCAGTTATTTCAAAAGAGTACGTGCTTGCGCATTTTGAAATTATCACTGTAAGAGCGAATTAACCTGAGTATTTGCTTAGTTGTGGTGGACATTAAACTGGAGTGGAAAGATCATTAAGTCAGTATAAAACAATGTTCTCAGTTATTTGTTGTAAGCGACTGACTGACAAGTTTCAGCGTGCGCTTTGGAGTAACATATTCACTGGGCGATCGAAAGAAGAAATCCCACCAATTTTGGTTTGCATTTTTATCATCCTTTTGTTCAAGAGTTTTTCTTGCAAAAAAATTGTTTCGGTGCAGAAAATTGATTTTAGACCTCATAATTCACAACACTTGTGGGGACACCTCAGAGTCGCATACTTTCAGTACTTACTACATTTCGTTGCAGTAACAGCCTAAGGGAGCTGGCTGTTTTGCTGCTTTGTTTTTCCCTTTCTGAACTGATAGAAACTTTTTGAACTATCACCAGTATTTCCAACGTACTGTAGAAGGTTGCAGCGTTCACTGTGCGATGCGATGATCCGAAGTGGCACTGCGCTTGTTGAACTCGATCTTTCGGACAATGCTTTCGGCCCAGTTGTCGCAGAAGGCATTGAAAAATTTTTGAAAAGTCCATCGGCATACTCTTTAGAAGTGCTCAAATTAAACAACAACGAATTAGGCGCTGGTGGAAAGGTAATTAGGACTAGTTTATGCCTTTGCATAGAAATTGTGTTGTTCAGTTTTTGTTCGTTCTCCCAGTAGCTTAGGAAATTCTTAGCAGTCGGTGAGTTATTCGTCGAAGTGGAGCATTCTTTTTGCATATTATAGGAAATCGCTTTTAATTAATACAGTTAATAACTCCAGTGGACCTAACGATTTTCCACTGACTAAACTTTCTGTCTCTACTATAGACCACATTAAAACTAAATGATTTTTGTTGTCTACTTGGGCAGCAGTAATAAAGTAGATAGGGACTTGAGGCACATTCTAAATAAGAAAGCCATCGACAGTTTTGGGAGCGGACAGTTGTTGTTGTTCTTCATACCCACTTCCGTGTGTCTCCGTTTCTCATAAAGAGTGAATATGGAAGGGATTTTGACTTTCATAGCTTTTCGGATCTTGAAGCATTATTTTCTGGGATAAAACTGTGCAGCAAAATATGAAGGTGAAATTTGAGAATTTCATGACGAATGGTGAGGGGGAAAAGGAGAAATAATTAGCAAAGAGAGCATGCCGTGATACTTCAATGCTCTGCACAACTTTTCCATTTACCTTGACCAATGACGCATCGCACTTGCCCAACCAACCAGCTGGTTATCCTGATATCCATTTTGTCTCAGGCTGGATTACCAGAAATGTGACTTAGCTGTTCACTAGAAGGAAGGATACTGTTTCTTTTGCGCTGAGTGGAAAAGGAAGAGATAAAAGGAATCCTAGATGGTGCAAGTTTTCGCTGTTCACGAGAACTAGAAAATCGGAATCCTTATCAGCCTATATCATAATCTGAATTTGAGACGAAACGTGTTCGACAATTTTTCGTTGTATCTTAAGCATTATCCGGAATAAAGTAGCGAGTGAAATGCGCCGCGGTTTACTGCATTTCTTTCTTTTTCAAAACTATGGATCACGATTATATGCAGCTATGTTGGTGTATTTAGACTATTGCGAAAACATTGATTCAATGCCACCGGAATGCAACGAAAGATGGGCGAACATTTCGACTGAAAAAATTCATTGCCGGACAAAATCGTTTGAAAAATCGAGGCGCGATTGCTTTAGCGAGGGCTTTTAAGGTTATTTGGTCGAAATGGCTATTTTTTTATACGTATCTTTTTTGCATAACTTCTCGATATCCGAAAACTTTGTGGTTTTTCTGAGGCATGAAATGTGTTTATGCTTGGTACTTTTTGAAGGACTTCTTTTAAATTGTCTAAGAAATACGTATTTTTTATTTTTTATAAATTTTTTTT